AGACACAGAGTCAGTTTTGCTAGAGCTAAAAAATAAGAAGGGTGCAATTACACTGCTTGGTGTGATCCATAGACCATCAACTAGTAGGAAGGAGACAGAGGAGCAAATCGGCTAGAAAATTACAGAAAGTTGTAAACATCCTAGAATAGTTATGATGGGAGGACTTCATCACTATCCCAGTCTTATACAGGTAATTAATGTAAGGGGCACTGAGGGACAAGTGTTCTTGGACTGTGTTCAGGAGAATTTCCTACAGCAAAATGTTTCCAGTCCATGAAGAAAGGAAGCATTGCTGACCTGGTCCTTGGGAATGAAGGACATCAAGTAACAGTGGAGTAATATTTAGGGGACAGTGATCATTGGATCATAAAATTTAAGATGATGGTGGAAGGTTATATTAGTCAAACCAGAGAAAGGATTACCAGCTATCTATTCTAATCCCATTTACCAGCACCTGGCCTATAGCCTTGTATGCTACGGCATTTCAAGTGCCATTCCAAACAGTCCTTAAATGTCTTGAGGGTTCTCGCCTCTACAACCTTTAAGCAGTGAGTTCCAGATACCCACCACCACCCAGAAAACAAAACATTACCTGAAATCCCCTCTAAACCTCCTGCTCCTTACTTAAAACTGTGGTCCCTCATTATTGACCCCTTTACTAAGGAGAAAAGTTTCTCCCTATCTACTTATAATTTTGTACACCTCAATTACATCCAGTCTCAGCCTTCTTTGCTCTAAAAAAACAACCCATCCTATCTTGTCTTTTCATATCTGAATCACTCCAGTTCAGGAAATATTCTGGTGAATCTCCTCTGCATACTGTCTAGTGTAATCACATCTTTGCTAGAAAATGGACAAAATCAGAAATTCCTGGAGAAATTCTGCAGTTCTGGTCGCATCTCTGAAGAGAAAACAGAGTTAATTTTTCAAGTCCAGTGACCCTTCTTCAGGACTCAGAGTTCTATCCTCAGATGCTGCCAGACCTGATTTTCTCCAGCAATTTCTGTTTATATTTGTTTCAGATCTCCAGCATCTGCAGTTCTTTGTTTTATTTTACTGTCACATCTTTCTGTAGTACGGTGAATAAAACTGCACAGAGTACTCCAGCTGTGGCCTAGCCAATATTATGAACAGCTCCATCATAACCTCCTTGTTTTTGCATTCACCATCTTGACCAATAAAGGCAAGTATCCCATATGCATTGGTAACTTCCTGGTCTATCTGTCCTGCTGCCTTCAAAGATCTATGGACATGCACCTCTGATCCTCTGTACTTCCTGGTGTCCTACCATTCAACATGTACTCCCAAATGCATCAAGTCTTACTTTTCAGAATCAAATATACTTGCCAGTATTCAGTTCACCTATATCATCCTGTAGTTTATGTCTTTCCTCCTTGCTATTTATCACACCACCAATTTTTATGTCATTTACAAACTTACTGATCATACCTTCTACATTGACTAGATCTGTAATGTATGCAACAAACAGCAAGGGACCTAAGCACTGAACCCTGTGATATGCCACTGGAAACAAGCTTTCACTGAGCAGACACTCTTTGACTATTGCCCTCTACTTGCTGGCACTAAGCCAATTTTGGATCCAGTTTGTCACATTACCCTGGATCTCGTGGGCTTTTGGATTCTTAATCAGTCTGCCATGTGAGACTTTGTCAAAACCCATACTGAAGTTCATGTAGATCAATTGGCAAAAAGTTGGCAAATGAAGTAAAATGTGGGAAAATGTGAAGTTGTTCATTTTGAAGGGGAGAACAAAGAAACAGTATTATTTAAATGGAGAAAAAGTGCAGAAAGCTGCAACATAAATGGACTTGGGGATACTTGTGCATGAAACACAGAAAGCTAGCAGACAGGTTTAGCAGGTAGTCAGGAAAACTAATGGAATGTAGGCCCTTATTTCAAGGCCGTTACTGCAACTATACAAGGTGCTGGTGAGACCCACAGCTGGCGTACTATGAGCAGTTTTGGTATCCTTATTTCAGGAAAGATATCATTGGAGGAAGTTCAGAGAGGGGTGATCCCTGGTATGGAGGGTTTGTCTTATGAGTTGGAAAAATGTTCCTTGTGGGTATTTAAGGTTAAGGTAGTTAGATTCTTGATCAGAAGGGAAATCAAGGGTTATGGAGAAGGGGCAGAAAAATGGACATGAGGAGTGTGTTAGACCAGCCATGGTCCCATTGAATGGAAAAGCAGGCTACTCCTGTTTCTATTTCTTATGAAATAGGCTCAAAGGCTAAACAGGTTGGGCCTCTGCTCACCGGAGTTTCGAAGAATGGTAGGTAATTTCATTGCAACATATAAGATTCCTAAAGACTTTGGCAGGGTAAATGCTGACAGGATAGTTCTCCTCATGGGAGAGTCGAGGACCAGAGGGCATAGTCTCGGAAAAAAGGGTGCCAATTTGAGACCAACATGTGGAGAATTTCTTCTCTCAGAGGGTCGTGGATTTTTGATCTCCTTGCCTCAGAGAGCTGTGAGGGTAGAGACCCTATGTACATTTAAGACTGAGATAGCTACATTCTTGATCAGGAGGAAGATCAAGGTTTACAGGAAAAAGGGCATGAAAGTGGATATGAGGAATGTTGGATCAGCCATGATCCAACTGAGTGGCAGAGCAGGCTCAAGAGGCCAAACGGCCTTTTCTTATTGCTATTTCTCATGGTCTATGGTCTCAATTGCACTACTGTCATCCACACACCTAGTCACCCCCTTAAAATATTCAAGCAGATTTGTTAGACATGATCACTCTAAAGTTAGTATGATGGTAAAATCAAGGTATACTCATTCAAACCCTAACCTTAACCCTACCCACCTCAGGTGAAACATTTTCCAGGGTTTTTGCAAAAGAACTAATGGTACTAGAATGAAAGATCTCATCAATTTGTGATTATGTGAGAGATAGTAGTGTGTAGAACCACCACAGCACATGCTTAGGGATGAGCTGAGACTAATTAACAGTGACTTCTGGATTACTGCTTGATTCTATGTCTGGATTCCCAAAGTTGTTTTTGTTTTCAGTGGAGTAATATCAGCGATTACTTACAATTTTGCTGCCTTTGCCACAGCAAAATCCAGGCCATTGACATTGTTGCTACACCCTTTGCAATCTCTACTGTAGGGATTCTATGATTCTACTGAAGGTCCAATGACATGTTTCCTTTCTGTAAGATATAGAAGAACTGGGGGATCTAAAACAGCACACATCTAGCAATATATTCTTGGATAACTAGAGCAGGCATTTTATCCCTGGAGCCCTGGACAATGTTTATCTCTTAATCTGTTTCATTTGTGTTGATTATCTGGGCAATGTCACACAGATAGTTGTTGAAGATTGTTGTGGACAAGTTGACTGCTGCATTTCCTATATCTCAGAAGTACATTATCAAAATCCTGGTGTTCTGAAGAAAATTCTCTCAAACAAAAGCAGAAAATATAGAAAATGATTTATTCTATTTCCCAGTCATAAACAAATATTTGTTTTTATTTTATTTTAATGAACTTCTATTTACTGTTGTGTGATGAATTCTTACCACAGTTAGTTGTGGTGTAAAATCCATCAGGTAAATTTGCTGCCACCATCTTCTTTGCTGATAAGCATCTACAGGGCCTGTTTGATCTGGTATGGCACAGAAAAGCCTGTGGGAGTCTGTTATCTGAAACGCTACATTGTTTATTGCATGAAAACAACTAGGTACAATGCAACCAAGTTACGTTGAAATGATAACACAGTGTGGAGCTGGAGAAACACAGCAGGCCAGGCAGCATCGGAGGAGTAGAAAAGTTGACGTTTCGGGTCGGGACCCTTCTTCACAAATAGATATGGGAAATATCAATGTTAGGTTTTACTTCTTCAAGATCTAAAGCTGTTCCCTTATCCCAGGCAATGTCACATAATCATATCTGATGGTGTTTAATGCCCTCCTCAGCATTAACCGTTACACACTTATGTAACATCCACAATAGTTTATGGAGTCAATATTTAAAAATACAAAAACAAGGACAGTTTTATTCTTGGCAGTGTTATTTGTTGATCACGTCATAACAAATGTTACAGTTTGCCCCTTAGACTTTACAAGCCTGACGGCACTTGTGCGCTTTAATTGTTATTTACTGAGCTGCAGTTCATTTGCCGATTACCAATCGAATACGTCATTCACATTTCAACCAGTCCCAGTAGCTGACATGACGCTTACAAGGCGATTTTTATTGAGACCTTGAATACGCAGTGACAGAATGAGCTTTACTGTACCGTGAAGCCTTTATCTTCGCGATTTTTTTAACGGTCTGACTTGTTTTCTTTTTCTCTCGGGGAATGATGTCATTTAAAAGAGCAGTACTTCACATCACTGCCATCCAGGGATCCTCCAACTGCGCGTAGGGGGTGGTGAAAAAGGTCAAACGTTTGCTTTGAAAGCAGAGGAAATATGGACCGAAGTGTCGCAGATTGCGTTATCAGCAATGAAGCAGGGAATGAATGGAAGAGTAACTCTACTGAAGGCGAATATAATCTGTTCAAGACCTGCCTGGTTTGCAAATTGGAGTTTACAAATCGTCAGCCCAGATTGCTGCCTTGTCTCCATTCGTTCTGTAGAGATTGTGTGCCGACTCGAAACCGCAGCCTCTGCCCCAGCCCCACCACCGCAGCCTGCCAGGAGAGGAGCGGCGAAGAAGGTAACTAGTTAAAGACAACCAGTGTTAACTCTCGGGAGTCCTACGAGACACACTCACACCTGCCCGCCCATGTTCAGAGATGTGTAAATAAGCTTCAGTTTTATTTGATCATCTATTTCGATTTTTCACGTAAATAAGTAGGTTTGTGCGAGACAAACTTACACTTCAAAATGGATTTGACTTTGCCCAGTAGCTTGTAATTTGAATAAAACTAAAAACATTGGTGTTAAAGCGTTTGCGTTGTCTATGTGAAATGTAATGATCCTTATTGCAGCAGTGCTTTGATATAATTTATTATTCATACTGCAAACTTTTTCTGGCCTTGAATGAAATGGCAATGTTGGAACTAGGGCTTCGCACCTGCTGAGCAAGATCTTCCTGATCAAAGACAAATTCAAGAATTTCGTTCGTGCTTATCATGTCATCTACATGTTTCAAGTCAGTTGCACTTAAAAATACTTTTTTTGAGCCAAATGATTTGCATACGCGAAACTAGAATAAGCTAAATGGAATGTCATTATATGTCTCTGGGCGAATCTATACATTTGAAATATCACACTGAAAATTGTCTCCCACAGTGAAATTTGGTTAAAAATCGAAATAGGTTTGATTTAAATTAGTGCTTGATTTCTGAGAAATCGTACAGTGACATTATAAGTATGGAAGAAAGCTTATTGCTTGCAACCAGATTTGTTGAAGCTTCCAATTTTTTTGTTTAGTTCTTGATCCATCTTATGTAATGGGGTCAGGATGGATTCAGAATGAAACAGCCTTGACTATGGATTGTTATTCCAGTTCTAAATTAGAATACATGAAGCAAAAAAGGATGGCATAAAGGGTTGTTGTGAACACGTCATCTAGTAAAGTGACTCATGAGATTTACTATGTTCATCAACAGAATTGTGAATGATGTGATTACTGTGAATTTTTAAATATTTAATATAAATAACCTGAGGGGGAATAAAAAAATTTCCATTACGGTACATAATGTCTCCAAATGACCAACATGGCGATGTTGAATGGAATTTTTAAAGTAAGCTGTTTCAGGAACTGGTGCGCTAGAACTCCCAAGTGACAAAATAACGCCTCCCTGAAGCTTCCGAGAAAAGCATGTAAAAATAGGTGTAATTTATTTATTAAAAATATATACTTCTGTCTATGAATTAGTCAATAGGTATATAACTGGCCGACTTATTCAGTAACAGTAAACAAAATGGTACAAAAATTTTGAGGGAAGAAAAGTTGACTTGAAATGTTATGTTATTTAGTCTGTGTTATGTCACATGATTAAAAAATCCATGTTAGCTATTTAGCCTTTCAACCCTGCTCCTGCTTTCAATAAGATCATGGCTGATCTGCTTGTGGTCTCAATTTCACTTTCCTACATGTCTCCGAAACTCTTGACTCCCTTATAAATCAAAGATTTAACCAACTCCGCCTTGAACATACTCAGTGATGCAGCCTGCCTTGCCGTCTGGAAATTAGTTCCAAGTATTTATGATCCTCTGAGAAAGGGGTGGCTCAGTGGTTAGCACTGCTGCCTCACAGCACCAGGGACCTGGGTTTGATTCCAGCCTCGGGCGACTGTCTGTGTAGAGTTTGCACATTCTCCCTGTGTCTGCGTGGGTTTCCTCTGGGTGCTCTGGTTTCCTCCCACAGTCCAAAGATGTGCAGGCTAGGTGGATTGGCCATGCTAAATTGATCGTAGTGTTCAGGGATGTGCAGCTTAAGTGGATTATAGGGAGATGGGGGTGGGTGGGATGTTCCAAGGGTCGGTGTGGACTTGTTAAGCCGAAGGGCCTGTTTCCACACAGCAGGGATGATATGATTCTATGATAAAAGAATGTTATCCTCTCGCTTGATTGGGAGCGTCCTTATTTTATCATCAGTGGTTCCTCGCAGACAACGGTGACTCTCTTCCACTCTCAGTGTGAGTCCATAGGTGGCTGTACAGACCAATACGGCTACTGCAGGCTCTGTTACACTTGGGGCAGAAGGTGGTCATGGGAAGGGGTGGGTGAGGCATTGGTGTGGCAGGCCTCTCCGTTTGCTGTTTTTGTCTAGCTTCTGCTTTTTTCCGACGGCAAGTCTCGAGGTGCTCCACGCCTTCTCGGTTGCTCCTTATCCACTTTGGACAGTCTTGGGCCAGTGATTCCCAGGTGTCTGTGGAAATGCTGCACTTCACCAGCGAGGCCTTGAGGGATCACTGAAGCGCTTCTTCTATCCACCTGGGGCTCACCTGCCGCTTTGTAGTTGGAAGTAGAGACCTGCTTGGGGTGTCTTGTGTCAGTTATGTGGACGACGTGCCCAGACCAAGGGTCAATCAATGGTGGTCAGTGCCTCAATACTGTAGATGTTTGCCTGGTCGAGGGTGCTGCTATTGGTGCATCTTTCTCCCCAGTGGATTCACAGGATCTTGCACAGGCAGTGCTGGTGGTACTGCTCTAGTGCCTTGAGGTGTTTGCTACAGATAGTCCACATCTCAGAGCCATATGGGAGGACCAAAACTACCACAGCTCTATAAACCATGACCTTGGTATCAGATCTCATGCTGTTGTCCTCGAACATGCTTTTCCTGAGGCAGCCAAAGGCTGCGCTAGCACACTGGAAGTAGTGCTGGATTTCTTTGGAAAGCTGCTTTGATTGACAAGGTATTGAAAGTGGTCAATGTTCTCTGAGGCTTCTCAGTGGATCTTGATGATTGGGGATTCATTGCACAATGCCAGGTCAGGTTGTCAGAGGACCTTTGTCTTGCGAATGTTCGGGGTGAGACCAATGCTCTCATATGCGTCCATGAAGGTGCGGAGTACATCCTCTGAGATTTCACATACTCGAGCATCATCTGCGTACTGCACCTTGATGACACTGGTTGGGGTGAGTTTGGTTTTGGCTTGAAGGCGGCGGAGGTTGAATAATTTCCTGCAGGTTCTGTAAGTTAGCTTCCCTTCAGGAGGAAGCTTGTCGGTGGTGAGCTGCATCATTGCAGCGAGGTAGAGAACAGTGTTGGGGCAATGATTCAGACCTGCTTGACATGGGGCCAAACAGGGAATGGGTCACTGGTGGAGCCATTTGTCATTTCTAATACTTCCATGTCATCATGGAGCAAGCAAAGGATGGTGACAAACTTTATGGCGCAACTGAAGTGGAGGAGGATACTCCATAATGCTTCCCGATTGTCAAATGTCAAAGGCCTTTGTAAGGTTGAAGAAGGCCGTGTACAAGGGTAGGTTCTTTTCTCTGCATTTCTCCTGCAGCTGTCACGTGGTAAAAACATATCTGTTTGTCCCCCTCCATGGTTGAAAGCCACACTGATTCCGGGAGGAGATGGTTGAGGAGGATCTTGGCAATGACTCTTCCAACAGTCGACAACAGGGAGATTCCCCTGTAGTTACCACAGTTGGACTTGCTCCCTTTTATGAAAATGCTCATGACTCTGGCATCTCAGAGCTCTCCTGGCATGCCCTTCTCCTTTCAGATACAGCAGACAAGAGTGTGTAGCTGCAGGACGAGCTGTTTGTGCATATCATAGTTGTTGGCCATTCATTGGGCCTCCCAGTGCTTTCTTCACCCACCACCTGTTCTTCAGTCACAGGCTTGTTGTTGGACCTTGGCCTTCAGTTGCCTGTAGGCCTGCCTTTTCTCTTCTGAGTGCAGTTGTTGTTTTACACCCAGAAATGCCATACGCTTCCGGCTTCATTGTTCTTAGATCTCCTGATCATTCACATCAAACTGGTCTTGGTGTTTTCTGGTTGAATGACTGACCGAGTTTTTGCAGGCATTGGTGATGACAGTCTTAGGGGTGGACCAGAGGCTGTTGATATCCTGTGACTAGGTGTCACTGAGGGTTGCTAGGTTTGTGGAGAGGAGTTGACTGTATGAGGCTGTAAGGGTGACCTTACAAGGCTTTGCTTTCCAGATCTTTGAGTGTGTCAATGTTGAACTTTTTGTGGCACTGCTTCTGTAGTCTGTTCTGCAGATCCTGACTTGGATCAGGCAATGGTCTGTCCAGCAGTTATTGGCTCCTGTCATGGTGCGACTGATTTTTCCGATCGCTCGCTCTGACGATGATGTAGCCGAGGAGATACCAGTGTTTGGAGCGCAGGTGCTGCATGTTGTCTTGTATTTGTCCCTTTTGGCAGAACAGTGTGTTGGTGATGAGAAGGTTGCATTCGTGGCAATTGGTTACGAGAAGGGTGCCGTTAGAGTTTTGATTCCCTATTCCCTCTTTCCGGTTTACGTTGCCCTAAATGTTTGCAATTTTGCTGACTCTGGCATTGAAGTCGCTGAGGATAATTAGTTTTTCCACTGCAGAGACCCATGAGAGAGATTGGTCAAGGCTGGAGTAGCATTGCACCTTGTCCTCAGCTGCTACATAATGCATTGGTGCAGATGTGCTGAGTACTGTGGCATACTAGTTCCGAACAAGGATGAATTGGAGTGTCATGAGGCGTTCACTTATTCTGAGCTGTCTGCTACAATGTTTTATTAATTTAACACATTTAATATAATAAAACTTTCTAAGGCTCTTCGGGCATTATTAAAAAAAAGTATGGCATCAAGCACATAAGGAGACATAAAGATAGATGATCAAAGATTTTTAATGAGCATCTTAAAGAACTCTGTTTCAAGGGACAGAGACATTCTACATCATTAGCAAAAGTTCAAATCTGCTCATCAATCACAAGGTCCAACACAAACTGAACAATCCATTTTGATTTAGTGGACTCTAACAGTGACGTGAATTGTGCCTGATTAAATCATTCATTTATTATTTTGATTTTTATGAATAATCATTCAAATGGGACTTTAGAACATCAAACAGCAGTCCTAAATGGATTTCGTCACTGTGCAGGTTGAAATTGTATAAAATGCCATCAATTACATGAACGTTGGTTGCTGGAAATTCCCTGCCATCTGTACATTTCTGCTGTGGCATTTGTGCCTTTTTTAATAGAGGCTGTTGAGTTAAACAAGATTTTTTAATGTCCATTCTTTTACTC